CTAGTCAAATTGTGGGATTATTTTCCGAACAATATTGTATAAAGAGATATGTATGTAGAATAAAATGAAGAATAATTTATTGAAAAAATTACATTTAGTGAAAATAATTCAAGTTTAATTAAACCTTAAACGTAATCATATTTAATTTGTTGATTGTTAATGCTTTCTTTTTCTATCTAGCTCTATTTTTCTGGATAGAGATGTAAGATAATAGTGTTCCATACTTACCTTTTTTCATTTTGAGCATAAATATTTTCGACGAGAATATATATAAATCAATTGAAATATTTTGAAATTTTTTTATACATTAAAAATTTTCGAAACATTTAAAAAGAATGCATGTTTCGATTTTAAAATTCTAGAGTTTAGATAATGATATTATAATTAAGCAATAATAAAAATAGTAAATTATGAAGAATTTATTGTTATTCTATAAAAAAAGAATGGTAATATGAAGAAAAAATAAACACAAAAGAAATAAATAGTATGCAACGGCAAAAGCATAAAATAATACAAAATATTCGTTTTAACTTGGGTATTTATTTTTATAATTAAAGATTAAGGTTAATAACTTTTTTATTTTAGTAATTTTTTGTATTATATATATGCCATAAATACGATAATCATTGTGTATTAAAAAACGTTAACTACTGTAAATCCATTTAATTTTATTATTTCACACAATATATAATTATAAATAATTATGCATTATTAAAAAGATAATTCCATTGCTTCTTAACTATATTAGTTTATCTTATTTTGTATTATACTTTTAAATAAAAATAATCTAATAATTTACTAATTATAAATAAGTAAGAGTAATTATGAATAATTATAAGTAAGTATAAATAAGTATTTTATAAATAATAATAGTCTATAAATAATGATATTTATTAATAATTAAAATGATTATATTTTTATATCTATTTCGATTGAATAATAAATTAATTTATCTACATAAATACGTTTAGAAATAATATATCAAATAAAATAAAAATAAAATTTAAATAATGCATTTTAACGTATTCCTAATTGCATTTTCATTTACTTATATATTTACATGGTAAATATATTTTATGAACTGTCATGATAACTCTTATAAATATACTATTAATTTAATTCTTATAAACATACAATTAATTTAACTCTTATAAATATACCATTAATTTATTTGAACGTTCTGTATAAACGCACACTTTTATAGGCTTCAGTTAATGAAAAAAAATGGATAAATTACCAAATTCAAATCAGTCGATATATAAAATTTTCTACATTATTTTTTATAGTTTTAGTTATAGTTTTGCTCTTTCAATTTTCTTAATTACTATTTTTTTCAATAATCCATCTGTTCGGGATTGGAGCAATTTCGAAGAATTTTAAAATGGGAAGTAAATACAACAAAAAAATACCAAGATACACTATGTGTGAAATATTGCATAAATGCGCCATTCCTTTCCACTTTCCAGCAATCCTCCCACCGAACATCACTGGGAGTTTAGTCTAATCCTAGACACCATAGTATTAGTAAATATAAAATTATAATTATTATTACTGTTACATTTGTCCTTTATTTTCAAATTCAATCACCTTTTCATCTATTTATTCTTTATAAAAATTTTAGAAACATCTCTTTTATGTTTTTCTTGTATTTTATTACATAATTATATTTGAAAATTTATAAAGAACGAAACATTTAAAAAATGAAAAATAAAAAGATAATACACTAGAGTAAATTATTCTTATTGTACATAAAGATTTTACTGACCGCATATTATTTATAATTATTAGATAACGTAATTGTGCATATGATATTTTTACGATATATATGATATATGAACAACATTTACATAAGATAGTATTATATATTTTCTTTTCATTTATTTTGTTCGGTATATGAATTTTTTTTAACTTTTAAATATGGTCCAAATAACAATATTATCACTTTTTTTAACATATTCCCTTCTTTTCCTTACAGTGTGCTCGGATATAAAGTGTCATCTGTAATAAAATAAAAACATTTACAAATATGAAATTTTTACAAAAATCATTAATTATATATTATCTTATTATATTCGTCTAAATATTTTTTTACACAGTGATTCAAAATTGTAATTTTTATAAGCTGAAGTAAGATAATTTTTCTCTATGCCTAAATTACATTTAAACAACAATTCAATATTTACATAAAATAAGATAAACTCAATAATTTTATATCCTAATATTCAATGCAAACATTTTTATACTTCTGTGAAACTTCATCTTGTAGTAACATCAACTATATCTAATTTTCTTTGAGAAGAAATTTTTTAATTTATCTGCGTTGTAATAAATTAAAAAATTGTATAAAAATGTTATTATCCACAAGTTTTGAAAAACTAAAAATATATTAATAAGTGTTTCTAATTTTATTTAATAAAAATAAGTGGGTAGAATTGAAACAGCTTATTGAATTTAATGAATAACGCTTTATTTGAGATTAGTGAATATTATTCGCACTTGTAATTATGTTTAAATTAATATTATCACTTTCAACAGTAGTATTTTGTATAAATATGATAGGAATTATATTTACTATCTATTATATATTTATAATTTAAAGTTAAGAGGTCCTTAAGGTGGGGACGACTCAACAGCAAAGAGCTGTCTGCGTGAGGAAGCCATGTCAGAAGAGCTCTCACTTATCGGTGGAAACTAGTGACCAAGTTTAAGCGATCCACTGAAAGAAGGAAGATATATCAACCCTCCTATACTACAGTTGAAAGGCGTTAATGTTATCTCCTTGATTAATTGATTTCCTTCATGCCACGAAAGGGCCGGACCACCAAGCACGCACTCCCGCATTTGAAGCATGAATAATGGTAAACTACTCATCCCAGGATCTGATCCCAGGATCAGGCTACTGTATCACTGTGAATGTACAAGTCTGTGCGACCTAAATTATTGCCAGTCAATACAAAACTAGCATGACGCTATTATTAATAGCACATCACATTCACTAATAAGGAGTGTGCATGATCAGTTGCTGATCCTTACAAAATCAACAACAACATCACGATCTCAAGGAGCATCTTGTGTAGTGAAACATCTATCACAAGAAACGTTCCAAGAAATCGCATCTTCATATTAAACTTAAGATGCATCCAAGACATCAATATATAATTGTATTATAAATTGTAAAATAAATCATATATTCATCAAATCGCACGATATTTCTACAGCCCTTCCACTTAACTCCTTCCCGAGCATTTGCTAGGACGGGCGGCAAAAATAAGTTATTGAAGCATTGGCAGTTCGTGCCAGGAGAACTACACCATTTCGAACAAAAGTTTTTATACAAAGTTTTTATACAAAGTGAATTTTATGTGTCGTTTATAATAAAAGAAAAGTATTATCATAATAGGATGTAATAACTCTACATTTTTATTTATTGTTGATATTTAAACTTCTAAATTAAATATGATTTATTCTTGAAAGATAACTTTATAATTATAAAATTATAAAACATAAAATTTATATAGAGATAGTAAATTAGAAAATAATTACATAAGACATTGTTAATCTATGTTGGAATTCATATCTCTTATCATGAATAAATAAACTTTTATTAACTGTTATACTTTCCTTTAAAAGATATTTTAATATTAAAATTTTAATTATCTGGTTTATTAAAATAATAATTGTCTGGAAAAAAAAATTTACGTATACTAGAACAATACAGTGATAATGTTTTTATACATCACAACTATTGCAGAAATAAATATAAAATTTATAAAAAACTACACAGTAAAAAAAAAGATTGGAACCCTTAACATCTTAAGAGATACCTTTGATATCATATATTATTTAATTCTCAATTATTTAATATAATAATGTGCAATATTATAGAATACTGTATAATTAACTAATATACTATTAAAACATTATAAATTAGATAAACTTAATATAAATTGAATATTATATTGTACATACAATTTTCAAAAAATGAAAGAAAACTCATAATATTTTTCAAAATAAAAACAATACAAATTACTGCATAGTATAATATTTAAATAAGTAAAAGTTTTTTTACATTGCATCACTTAAACTTTTTTAAATTACTCGATAATATTGCATAATTTTGTATTTCTCAGTTTTCGTTAAAATCTTTAAGAAATTTATAAATTTTAAACCTTATTTATGCATAAAATAATGCGGATCGGTTTTTCTTTTTTATTAAAAGCCCTAACTCAATTTATACGAAGAAAATTATTTATATGATATTTGTTAACATAAAATAAATGAAAAATTTATAATTATAGGAAAAAAAATTTTCTAAAATCAAGGAAACAGATTATTTTGAGAACTGATTATAAATTTTTTCCATTATTTTCGTATAAAATATTTTAATATGATTTAATTCTACGGAAACGCATAGTAGCGCTCAGTTGCTATATGAATGTTATTATCAAACCGACGTATTTATTAATCCACTGCCAAGGATCATAATTAAACAATTTAGTGTTTTTTAATTTTACATTTTAATTTTAATATAAATATTTTTTAATTGTTTTATTTTATGTTTTCTTTTAATAATTCTACAATATGTTTGATTGTTGTTAAAGTAATAGTGTACTACCAAAACCGTGAAAATAATGAAAATAAAAAGACAGGTACAGAAAATTGATTGACCAATGTACATCAAATATTGCAACCAAAATTAATTATAATAAAAGTAAATATACTACATCCATATCCGTTTAAAAAAGTTAACCAATTTTGATAATATTTGTATGTTCCGTTTATTTTATATTATTTTCATTTAAATCGCAATCAAATACTATAAAAGGGGAAAGTTATCTGATATTTTTATAATGACTAATTAATTATATTAAGATATTTCAATATAAATCTCAACTTCTTTTGAAATTTACAAATGAATATCTGTTGTTATGAACAAAATTAAATTTCAATTACAATTGGAGGAATGTTATATTTCATTTACCATTTATAAAATGTAAAATATTACTGGATGTTTTAAAATGACTTTCTTCTATTATATTAAAAGCTGTTAGTATTTTACATATATTCTCATGCCAATTCCAAAATATGAGCTTTTGTTTGCGTAATTTTAAATCTGTAAATAAAGACGAGAAACTCTTAGCAACTGTAGAATCAATATTGTTAACATTTCTTCCATCAATAATTATTATGTTTATATCCTTTTTCAAATCTGACCTAAAACAGTAAATATTAGATTACAATAAAACAAGAAATAATTTTAAATCAACAGACTCAATAATAATAATTGGGCGATCTACGTATCATTTATATATATTTGAAGCTGGTAAATAAATTTCAAATCATTATAGAATAAATGATATTTATAAAAAAAAACTTTCTGATCTATTTCCTTTATATATTAATATCAACATATATAAATTGACAAGATAATTATTCGGAAATAATGACAATTAATAAATATACTTTTATAAATTTAAGTATTGCTAACAAATTTTTGATACCTTGTTTATAATCATAGGATACATACATGATATTATAATTTCTACGTTTTGTAAAACTTTTAAATGTTGTCTGTAATGAAATTATGAAGTTGTAATGATTTTTGTAATTATGTAAAATTTAGCTATGTATTATTTAAAAAATCCTAACTAATAATATTGTTCATAAATATGAATTTCAATAATACTTAGAAATATTAAAAAATAAATCTTATAAATTTTAGAAAATAAATCTAATTACAAATTTTTTATTTTAATATTTTATTGTAACTTTTGGTATTAATTATATATATTTAAATCATGTAATAACATGTTAAATAAATAAATGCAAGTATAATCATATTAAAAGTTTTAATTTAAATATATATTCAATACTTTATTAATGTGTTTTATGTATTAAAAAATTTTACTCTTAATATGTGTATATATCTATAATTTATATAATCTAATAATATAATATAAATTATATTAACTAAATAGGTATATTAATAAAAAAATAAGGCTTTTAATGATATAATCGATGATAATTATAATTTATTCAAATCATATCACTTCCTTACCAGGTCATAACACGTTGTTTTATGTACTCGGCTGAAGGAAAAGTAAGAGATTGCTGTGGTGAAACAAAAAGAATCATTTTATCATCCACACTACGCTCTTCAATTATGAGCGCAGGTCGCGCTGTATCATATAAAATCATCAGTATATTTGTTATAATACCAATGATCATGCCGATTTCTAAACCAAATGACAAGCAGCTTAGTAAAGTCGCTAATAGCACTAATAGATCAAATTCTGTGACGTAATAAATATAAAATATTACTTTATAATTTTGAAATAATTAAGATCTTATTAATTTATTTATAGGGTTTTTTTATTTAATTTTATTATCATTCATTTTATTTATAAAAAAACGCTTTGTACATTATTATTCATAAAAACTTATATTTATTAATTATTTTCAATTATGATATATATAATCAATTTCATCATCTTTTTAAATAATATATTATAAAATATTCATTTACTGTATTTATAATAATTTTCTTAAGATTTTCTAAATACATTAAAAGCAAGATTTATACTTAATATATTTTTTAAGGAATTTGGATATGTAGAACAAGATATAGATTATCAAATATAATTTTACACGAATAATTATATTTCAAATATAAAAATTACAATTAGTTTAATACAATAATCCAATAAGATAATATTTACACACATTGATTTATAGAATTAGAATTTTGCTTGAAATTTTTTTTATTTATGTTAGAAAAATAGAAATAATATATATATATATAACAAGGAGAAATAATGTAAAAAATATTATAAAATGGTTCCATTTTTTCGTAGTGTATTATATGTGTGTGCTGCAATCATCGATAAACTGATAATAAACTAACAAATCTTTTTTTAATGCAAACTTAATTTGTAATACTGGTAGTAAGAACTTCAATAGATTAATTCAGAATGCAAAATTTAATTACATCTTATTTATTAATTTAATTCTTTATTACTCAATAATTAATGAGAATAGATATAATGTACATATTAAGTATATAGATATTAAGAATGCCTATTATACTTTTTATATACCTTAGTATACAGATATATACATACATACGAAAGTTAAAATTTATTTAAAAATTATTACATTCATACATTTACCTCATATTTTATAAATATGGAAATTTAAAAATGTGTATATTATAAAAGAATCAAATCTCTATTTATGATGTTTAAAAATAAATGTAATAAGTTGTTAAACATAACATTGTTATAGTTTATTTTAATACAAATATTTTATTACATAAAAGTAATTGAAATTTATTTATATATGTAGTATTATATAATAAAATACTAATAAAGTTAGTTGAATAAAATGGAATCAACTTATATATAGTTTATTTACATAGTTTTAACTTACTCTTATTTTGCCAAAGTAATCGAAGAATCCTTATTTCAAGCATATAGTACATTGCAACAATTATAACAGAAGCTAAAGTAGCTTTAGGAATAAAATTAAAGGCTTTAGTTAGAAAACTGCATACAAAAAGTACAAAACATCCAGTTATAAGCCCACCCATTGGAGTTTGAACACCTGATATATTGTTTATGGCTGAACGAGTAAAACTTCCTGCAATAGGCATGGAGCGTACAAAACTACTAAACAAATTGCATAGACCAACAGCTATCATCTCTTGATTTGCATCAACTGTTTTACCTTTTGCTATACACAAAGTCTTATGTTTTATATTACATTTGAATATAAACAAATATAAAAGAATTCAAACATTTTTAAAACTTCTATTGAGCTTGAATTACATATATAGAATAATTTCCCCGTATTTTATACAAAGTATAAAAAATAGATTATCAAATATAATATTAAGATAAAAATATATTTAAAAAGAACATGTTTTGTTATTAAGAATTTTTTATATCTATAATTAAGTCATTAAAAATAAAATAATTAAAAATTAAGTTATTTCAGTATTCTGAATAAGCCGTTTTATTTCTAAGAGTTATGTAATTTCATAAATAATTAAAATAAAAATATTATGTTGAGGCATACTCATAAAATTTACAACTCTAAATTCATTGATTTATTGATAAATCTACATTTCTTAATTCTTAAAAATATTCTTTTTGTATTTTAATGTATGTTAATATTAAAAGTTAATTAAATAACAGTAAAATTATAATTACTGAGCAATATTAAAAAATAGTCATTTTTTTATTGATAATATTATTAAACCAAATATAAGAAACATTCATTAACATTATCATATATGTTGATTATAAGAATTTCAACAAAGCATATTTAAATTAATTTAAAGACAATAATAAATTATAAATTATTAATTTTATTTACCTACTACTATATTAATTTCTAAAATTAACTGTATAAATAAAATTTACATTTATCACTTTTTACTATTAAGAACAAATTTTTAATGTTAATCATACTATCTTTAATTGTTTTATTTATATATAATACAAAAAAGATTATTGTTGTACACAATTTTATTAATTTTATATATACATATATACAATAATTATATACAAGATTAATAATACAATAAATATATCTATTTATATTATATACTGAAAAATAATAATAAAAAAAATTATATTTACCAAATGCTTTAGCAATGACAATGCTTTCAAGAAAAGCAATCAACGGTGCAGATATAATACTACTTCCGAGTATATTGATTATATCTAGCAAATTATATGTATCATTGTAATATCTGGTAAAAATTGGTGGTAATGCAAGTATAGGCAAACCTTCTTTTACCATCCCTATAAATTTAAACGGCTTAAATCCGTATAATGAAAGGCAGTACGTCAGAAACATACCGATTATTACAACGATTGCATTTTGCGCTAAGCATAGAAGCCACATACATTTTTGTAAACAATTACCAAGTCTATTTCCTGGAAAATTCTATATATATAACAATTTATTAATCAATTATTTAGTCAAAATATCAGTGAAATTAATAACAAGCAATAGATAATAAAAATTTTAATAAGACATTAATTATATAAGAATAACACCGGCATATAAAATTAGATTAACGATTCGTGTACCTTACTTATGGAAGGAAAAGATTTAATTAATTAGGAATAACAAAACTGAATTCTAAAATTAGTTAATGTTTCATTATTCTTCTTGTAAATAAAATGATCGATTTTCATAATTATAAACAAAATATATATATATATAAATTACAAAGCGTAAAATATTCAATTGTAAAATTGTTTTGAATAATAATGACCCGAATATGAAAGTTACTGGTCAATATGTTGGTTTGACCTTGTAATATTATTCAATCAATGAGGTATTGAAACAGATGATTTATCTAATAACTATTTAATAATTTAATAATATCACAAAATGTATAAGTAATTCAATAATTTAGCATATTATTTAACTTTAAAAATATAAAAATTTAAAATTCATACTTTTAAAACTATAAGAATTATAATCGAGAAAGTTCCCAACAAAGCATCATAAAGTCGAATTTCATTAAAATTTTTAACAAATGTCTTGATAGTCTTAATAAAGGATTCATTATGTCCACTTATGCCTAACAAGTCGTTAATCTGAGATGTTCCTATTATAATAGCCGCAGCATTGGTAAAGCCGCAAATTACAGGCATACTTATAAAATTCACTAAAAAACCAAGGTGTAATAGACCCATCGTAGTTATCAAGCATCCGGTAAAAAATGTTAGTAATACCTGTATATTAATTAACATAATGTATCTAATAATATATGATATTTAATAACTGATATCGATTGGTTTAAAGTAATGAAAATAATGTAGTAATATATACTTACTGCAAAATCATCACCATACTTTAAAACAAAAATCCGTGTGAGCAAACCCATTATTGCTGTTGGACCTACTGTTACATAACTTGTACTACCAAAAATTAAGTATACAAAACATCCCATAAAGCTACTATATAATCCATGCTGCAAACATTTATATTAAAATTACAAACAATAGAATATTTAAATAACTTTGCATTATTATAATATACAAATAAATAATCTATAATATATTTAATTTATAAAAATAAAGGTCTAATAATTAAATTCGAGATAAAATAGCAATTCTGCACTGTACTTAGATCAACCTCTTTACAAGTAATTGTAAGCTTTATAATTTAAAATGCAGTATTGTTAAATATTATTTAAACTTGAAGTAATGTTTTTTTTTGACATGGACATTAAAGTAATTTTCTTTAAAAATAATAAAACGAAAAAAATTACTAATGGGAAAATATAAAAAAGAAAAAAATGTTGATGAAATAATAGTGGCATTCTAATAAATACTAAACAAAGAATATAATTATAATGATTGAGGAAAGTTTTTTCGAATTATAATTTACATAATGTCTAAAGACAGTCTTGAAACAAACAAATAATAATATTCAGATAGTCAACTACAAAAGTAATAAATTTAAAATTAAGCATAAAAATAAGTTGAACATAGATAAATTAACTACATCATTGTGATCATTAATTAAACATTGGTAATTAAAAGTAAATAATTAGTAAATGTACATGTAGTACATGTAATTAAAAACTGTGTTTTAAGTTTTTATAATTCGACGCTTCACTTTATTGAAAGACGGTAGTTCGGAGTAGCATATGTAACCCTAAGTATCTTGAATAAAATTTTACGATATGTCAGCAAGTACAATGTAAAAACTTTTTTAAACAAACGTCATAAAAAAATTATAAATATTTATTATTCATATTACATTTTTTCATTACACAAGAATAATTTATTAACGTGAAAAAAATAAATTAGATTTTATTTGATACTGTTACGGATTGAAAAGTTGAAAAGCGGAATACAAATGTGGGAGAGGTATGAGCGCGCGATTGAGTTGTATAAAAAAAAAAAAACAATAGCCAACGAACTTTCCAGGCTATGCCCTATTGACATCACGACCAATATCGTCATAGCAACAAGCACCGGCGCTTAAGGACTAGCGCGATAATTTTTAAGGGCTGCGCTTCACGCGCAGCAGTCATTGTCTCAGTCTAATCTAGTAACAATTACGCAATCATTATAACGAGCGCACTATTCAATCTTCAAGCTTTTCTATACAGTCATCGCTCATTATAGCAGTACACATACGTAATGCTCAACTAGTAAGCAATCTAACAAGCCAATAGTGACGCCACATTATCAAAATCCTAGTGCTAACATAAATCAAGAGTGAAAATATCAAAATCATACTACACATATTAACGGATCACACCGACGACTAAGGCAGCAGAAAAACGGTCCCCTTAAAAAGTTTCGATACGACAGAAGCAGCTCTTACGCATTTACACTAAAGCAGCAGCGACCCACTTTCGCTTAGACGACTTCGGTACAACAGCGGCGGCTCTCACGCATACTACGACTACATCGACTCCTCACACCACGGAAAGGATACACCCTTCAGCACGTAACACAATTGAAGAAACTTCCCCTATTTTATTCACTCACACCTTCATTCATACACTTCATGATCATTAATTATTTATTATATTAAATAAAAGGAAAGACAAGAAACATTATAAGAAGTATTGAATTAATTGCATTGCCCCTTCCATTTGCCAGCAACACCTCCACCCACCATCAAAGGGAGGTTTTTAGTCTGATCCCAGACAGATACATTCTATTATTTTTATAAGCAATATATTTCATTAAATTATTTTTTATTAAGTATACTTATAAATATTATTTTTAGGACTTTTTTAAATAATAAAACATTTTGTTTCGAACGGTTAGGTAAATTAAAGAAACTAAACACCGAAATATTAAATAGTTTCATTTTATATTATTTGTTTTAAATTACCAGCCATGTAAATAATTACTGAAATAAAAATCTTTTATTTATTTTAAATTTTTTGTATTAAAGAGAAAGTACATTATTAAAATTATCTAAATATGTAATAAATAATGTTGAAACGTTATAAATTAGCTATGTGTACTTAACACATTAATACTGAAATAAAAATACCTAATATAATAAAATTAATACTTGGTAATAATCTGTATATTTATACAGAAGCATCAATTTCTTAGTAGTATATATATTAGTTTTCATAAAATATTTAACAACGTGCTTATATAGAGTTGTCAAGTATTTCAAAATATTAATCATTATCCCATGAAATAAAACAATTTTTATAGCACTTACATCGTTATTTGTATTTTAATTATTTAAATTTAATACATACATGTGGTGGTAATCCAGCAACAACAGCGTAGGCGATTCCTTGCGGTACAACAGTAAGACCAACTGTTATTCCTGCAAGAGTATCTTGCAGAAATTTAATCCACGAATATTGAGGAAGCCAAATCGTTATGGGAATCCTGTGATACAGGAATTCTTTGATACCTCGATACTTTAATCGGTATCTCATTTTACTTTCCATTTTATACATATAATTACATAAATACATATAATTAGACAATACATATTTACATAAAAAAATAAAAATTGAAAATATAAAAGTAAAATAACAAAATATATTACCAATGAATTGAATAATAATAAAATAATTTCTTATAAATTTCCTATTTTTCTGTATTATATTATGTATTATTTTTCTATAATTTTTAGGAGAAGCTATAAGATTAATTATAATATCAATTTCTAATAATTACATTGAAACAAAATTACCATTATTGAATTATATTAATATCGTATTTCTTGTAAATTTAATTATATTACAAACTAAATTTAATCAAGTATAAATTTTTATTTACGATAAATTTATATTAACGTAATATTAAAATCGGTAATTTTATTGAAAAGCAATGATTTAGCATTAATGTTTAAATCTATTTCATCACTTTTACAAATGAAAAAAATTAACAAATTAATACATTCTATGAAATAAAATTAAAAAATATTACTATAATTTATTGTAGTTATGTAATGGAGCAGGGCAGTCCATACTAAACCTAATGAATTGATCAATTTAAGCTACTAAACTATTTTTGGAGTATAAATCTGTATATGTACATATAATTGGTTTTGTTATGTTCTATATTATTTAGTACAAAAATTTTAGTTTTAATTGACAATATGTTTATCAAATCTTGTTTCCTTTGAAAAAAAATATTTTTTCCTTTCATTTACTGATAAGATAGTTCACAATTTTTTTACGTATCTAATGCCTTTTAATTAAAAATGATGTTTAGAATACATTCAGCTTTTATTAAAATACCGTCGGAGATTAATTGCTACGTATTATTCGAACATAGACATTTTCATAACTATATCAATTCCTGATTTTGTTGACAGTCTTACAGATAGTATAATAGTATTGTTCGTCCGTATCTTATAATTCATCAACTTACAAAATGTACTTATTTTTTATAAATGCTTATATATTTTACAATGACTATTTTTGACATTAATATCCATTCTTGTAATTTTATTGGGAACAATGAAAAGTAGTCAATAATATAAAATCTAAATAAATTATTACGATCAACACTTCACTATACATCGCAAATTATTAGTAAGTAATAACTTGTTCCTAAGATTATAAAAGCAATCATATTCACCATGATTTACTAATAACTTTGTTAATTGTTATCAATTTTATTACAAGATTGTAATTTCCTGTTGATTTTTTTGATCTTCCTAATCTCTATTAATTGATGATTGAAAATATCTTGGATGATATTCGTTACATTAATCATTGTATGTATTTATATAAGCTACTATTATCATATTAACATTAATAAATTAATCTAACATAATGGAAATATTTTATTTATACAATATTTATAAATATTTATACAATTTGTATCATTTAAAAATTCTCATATAACCTAACATTTATATTATACATACTAACCTAAATGAATAACAAGTACCTGCTTGCTATGTATAATAACGTTACACTTTATAATTTTACATAATTGATGATATAAATCTTTATAGCTAACAATGAAAATAGCTAAAAATAATTATTTTCTTAATCTTTGAGGATATATGTACTAAATAACGATATTGTTAAACGAAATTAAGTATGCTTGTATATTTTTTAAAAGTATATATTATATATATTATATACTATAATAGATATTAATGATAATCCTGCAATTAGATCATTTTAGATTGATAAAATAACTATTATTATTTTTTAAAAAAAAGATTTTTTACAAAGTTAATAAATATAAAATAAGATAATAAGTAATGCTAAACTATGAATAAATCGAAGTTATTATTAGAATATAAAGATGTTTCCTATATACCGTGTAACACATTTTGCAAAGAAATTTCTTGGTCTACTCTTCAATACATCTTCCTGCTAATAAAATATTTCATAATTTTAATTATATAAATCTATTTTAATATAAAAATTATGTAAAAGAATTTAGAGCGGGAAGAAGTTACATTTCCATTTATTCATCTTAAACTTTATTTCATTAGAAAATTAATTTAGATAGATATAATTAAATATATTATATTATGACATATTTATAACTTACTATATTTTGATTAATAACTTTTAATTTAATATTTTAAATATTAATTTATTGACTTAAATTACACCAGTATATACTATATTTCACACAGTAATAATAATTTCATTATATAAGTATTACTTTCATGTGATTCTTTATTTTTCAAAGTTTGAAGTTAAAATACATGAAATCCATTTAGTAACATTCATATTTATTCAAATTAGTAGCAATAAATAAGATAAAGAAAGATAAAATATAGATAACATTAAAATTTGAACGTAATAATTTTAATTATATCAAAATGTTATCTAAACATGCTTAAACAAAATAATATCTTATTTTTAAAGCTGAATAAAAAGTAATAAATAATAAATAATTTAATAAATAATAAATTGTCAACTCACTGAACAAAACTCGGTTCTTTTTGAAGTACTTTAGAATTAATGAATATTATAATCATAAATTAAATTTAAATAAGAAGGCGCGTATTAAATTGTTGTCTTTACTTAGAATACAATCTTAACTAAAGTGGGAGTTCGCGTATTTTTTTTCAGAATATAGTTACTTCTGGCACACACTACTATTTAGTAATAGTGCTATAATCCAAATTCAAACTTCTGTTACATAAAATATTAAGAATTGTAATAGAAAGATTCACTTATTCAAAATGAGTTAATCTAAAATGAGAACAAGCATAGTTAAATATATTCATTTAATCCGCTTATACTACAGTAATTTATATAATTACATGATTATTAAACTTAAAATAAGTTCAAAATTAAAATTTTTTTTTATAAAAATATGAAATATCATATATTATTTAATAAGAAAAATTACTGGGTTATGAAGAATAATCTGTGAATGTAAAAATTGTTTAATTTTGATTATATTAATGACTAATTTATTAATTGAATACAAAATGTTATTAAAACAAAAAATATTTATACAATTCATTTTAATTATATTATCTAATTTAGAATATAATCAATATATTAAAATTAATTATATATAATTAAAAAATATTAAAATTAATGATATTTAACTAAAAAATAATAAAATTAATAATAGTTAATTGAAAAATATTGAAATACTAAAAATATTTAATAACATAATAAATTTAATTTAGATATATTTATTTATACAAACTAATTGAATATGTATGCATATATTTCTGTTAAATTCACCATAATAAAATATTTTCGCTAAACCAAATTTAAAATATTATATTATTTTATTAAATAACAATTTTCATAAATAATAAAAAAAAATTTAATATATTGATCTTTATTTATATTAATACCTAAAACTAGACAAGTCTTGATATCTTAATTATACACTCTTGTATACTATCTGAACTGTATTTGTCTTAATTTTCATTGAAATTAAAGGTAATATCATATATTAAATAACGTTTTAGATTACATCATTTTTCATAGATATTTATTTTAACGAATAAAAAATAACAATTGTTATTCAATTCCTAAATTTTAATATTTATTAATTCATATTCTAATTATTATTTATGAATATTTTGATAAATCTATTCGCATACAATCTTGTATATATTCCTGTAAATATAAATATATCTATTAACACTTCATTCTAACATTAAAAATTCTAATATTAAAATAATGATTAATCTTGTAATATGTAAAAGTATTATATTACTTTATGGTGGACATAAATAGTATTTATGATAATTTAAAAAACACACTACAAAAATAAGTAAACCATGATGGTTAATAAGAAAATGTTTGAAAAAATGCTTGAATTTCTTATATAAAATATGAAGATAGGTTTATTTATACTATAAGTTTTTCTAAGAAGTAATTAATACTCTAATTTTAAAAACTAAAATTAACTATTTTTATGTTTAATATTCTACCGAGTTTCCCATTTCTGTATATAGACTATTAATTTAAACAATAACAATTGTATATAATTAATAGCAGGCGAAATGATAATTGCATTAATTAAAAAAAAATTATTTATTATAACCATATCTACTTAAAACTACAATTTAAATGGTCATGAAAAACTGACGATTATATTAATATTTCTATATTTTTAATTTCTATTATGGCATAAATTTATTAATGTTTATAAATATTTTTAATTAATTATATATATTTTATGTTATTACATTTATTAATGCAGAACATTAAAAGAATGAATTAATTTCATAAGTATATGCAAAAGTTAAAAATATATTTATAAATAAAATAATTAATATATAATTAGATATAAGAAAAAATTAATATTTCATTTATTTCCGATACAAATAGAATTTTAATGACAAAAAGAAAATTTATAATGAATTAAAAATTATTAACTTTTTGTTAATTTGGTGAAATAATGAATATGAAATGGGAATAAATTAATGAAGAGAGAAAAAAAATTTAATTCTCTATACCCTGGAAAAATCAAATTAAAATACCTAAGTAAAATAGTAATTATTACTCGGGTAATTATAAATTGTAAGCAATTGATATTATTATAATAAAAAACTTCACATATTTATTTGTTATCCAATTATATGTCCATTTATTTATTAAAATAACAAAAGTATCAAAATTAATTTATTAAGTTATAAAATTTAGTAGAAATGAATTATCAATGTTAATATTATTATTGTATTTAAATAGATCTAATCATAAATCTGTAGATGTGTATTTAAGCTAATGTTATGATTTAAAACAACGATTAGATATAAATGAATAAATTGATAACATTTACATACTCGATAAATTTAATTATAAATCGAATGAATCTGAAGCTTTACTATGCAGATTACTATTATATATTTGTAATAAAAATCAAACACATTTATATACGAGAAAGTTAAATAAATTGATTATTAAATATAATTAAATAAGTATATTGCAGAGAATTAATTTATAGCAAATCAACAGAAATTATAAGAAAATATTTCTATAATTCTTCTGTTACTCCGATAATATTATCAACTAAAAATTTTTAAACAAAAAATTATGTTATTGTTAATATGATAATAAAATATAATTTCATTTTAAATCTGATATTTTGTTTAAAATGTTTCAATTTATTCAGAATGTATGAATCACTTGATCTTTCAATTCCTAAATCGCCGAAAAGTGTTTTTAAGGATTATATATGTATTAGTTAAAATATATTAAATATTTTAGCATTTTATTTTATTAAGAGGCAAGTAAGCTATTATCATGGTAGATCAAAATATTGTTTGAATAAATTTTTGAACAAATGAAATGTAGGTAAAATTTTAAATAAAGTATCTTTAACCTCTCAACCTTTTTGCAATAACTGTAATTGTTTTTAATCACAATTTAATATTTTTATTTCTTATTAAATTATTAAATTAATTATTCATAATTTCAAAATGAGGTAATAGATATGGACACTGTATACAAAACATAAAGTAAATTTTTAAATTAAAAAAACCTATGGCACTATATTGTATTTACATCTTTTTGCATTTAAAGGGTTCAAAATTATTATATAAAAATAAAAATGGAAGGAAATAATAAAATATTTTCTGAATATTCATTTTTTCTAATTTAACTAAAGTTTTGAATTATTATTAAATTTTAATATTAAATATTAAACGACGAAAATATTTGTAATTATACACATAATATTTCTGTATTGTAATATAGATTATTTTATATTTGTAATTTCATCTATTTGAATTGTTAAAATGAATGAATAAAATCTTACTTTTTTTTTAATATAAAGCTCCTATTTCTTATATCTTGAGCAAAATACTCTTGAATTTATAGTTAAATTACCACATCAATAAGTCCACATAATCTTTGAATAGAATATTAAAGTGTAAGTAAATCAAACAATAACTGAAACATAAAAATGAAAAGTTTTATTTATAACGAGGTATTGTCTAGAATTACTACCTCATCTCAGTGTTAAGAAGTCACAATACAAGTTCTACTAACATTTATGAATATATAATATTTTCGTATCATTTCGTTATCTGCTTTACTTAATTGAAATTTTCGCTTATGACTGTACAAAGATAATATTCTTAAGAACAATGTCTATTAGATTTATTACTTGACAAATAAATTAAGTTAATGATACATTTCTTATTGGTATCAACTATGCGAATGATTGTTCAATCTTCTATTAGATCTTAAAAATAAATAATTATTTCATATTAATCCAGAACATAATGTTTCTCAATATAGAAAATATTTTCAGTAGCCATATTCGATATTTTTTATGTTTCAAGAAGTTTTAATGAAATTCATAATTAAGCAATATATTAATTTTTGTATTAATAAATGAAGGATGTTGAATATTTATGAATTTCTCAGTTTATAATTATTGTTTATACATGTTATAAATCAATATAAAATTATAATGAACATTTTTTATAAATATTATTTACGCTTAATTTTATATACATCCAATTTTTAATATTTAATTAGTACAGTTCCATGTACTACAAATATTTCATTTTATAATTAATTATATTTAAAAATATGAAAGTATTTTAAATTGGAAACTGTTCATAAATATATTAGAATGCTACAAATTATTCATAATTCTAAATAGTCTAATTTTTCAGTTTAACAATTTAAATATTAAAAAAATGAGATAATTGTATAAATATTACTATAAATTCGTATTTCATAATGCAAAATTATCACTAATTTTACATTTGATACTAAATCATTATTAATGGCAAGAACATTAGTGTAATTATTATATAAATAATTTGATTTAACAATAGAAATAATATTAATTCTAAAATCTGAATAAAATAATTTTATTTCGATAATTATTTAAATATTCGATATACACACAATTGATTATAAATATTACTATAAACTTATTATGCATTTAGATTGTGAAATGTATTATTATAATATTTTCATTTCTTATGTATATTTCACTGTGAAAAATACTGTACTTATATACTTTGTTATTCAAATAACATAATATAAAAATAATGAAGCTATAATATATAGACTACTTAATATATACATAAATAGATTATTTGATACATGTGTAAATAAGTAATATTAATAAAATTAACAAAAATTTTTCTTAATTTATTTAAAAATTTATAGTATGTAAATTTTACATGATAATGTTTTTTTGTAAATTATTCATAATTAAAGTATAAATATTAAATTTCCATTTTTGCGTATTGTCAATATTTTTAAAGGAATTGAACTTTAGTTTTAAGTATTTTAACCTCTACATTACCATTGAACATAAAAATATGAATGGAATGAAATCAAAAAGACACCTATGTTACAAACACAAATTTTATAAAATTTTATTATAAAAATTATGGATAGTACGTATCGATATTATCGATAGTTGTATTTCATCTACCCTGAAAATAAATAGTGCTTAAAATATCTGTCTAAAATTTCTAGTAGAATTTCATTCCTGTATTTATGCGTTATATCTACGTATGATAGAAAGTTAATAAAAAAATTTTTTTAAGGAAAGCAAAAAAAATTAATGTTATATCAACCTGTATATTTATATATATCTATATATATATATATATACATTTTAATTTGTCATCTAACCATCTAACCTAAAACGTAAATAGTAAATCCTATTGTTCTAAATTACTTCCTGCTCAAAATATTAATTAATTTTAAATTATTGCAATTAAAGATCTAATATTTTGTATAGTATGTCATAAATAAATATCTCAAAATTACATTATTTTAAAATTGTAACTTTCACGATAATGGTAATAAAAATTAAATTATCAAATTAATGCTTTAAAAAAATTTGTAGTCTATTAATCTTAGCAATTATTGTTTATAATAAATATTTACCTAATAACTAAATTGTTTAACAATAATAATATCACTACATTAAGACTAACTTTTAATTTTACAGATTTCATTCAGTTAACAAACATAAATTTTTGTTTATGCTATAATTATTTAAATAAAATAAAATATAAACGATAATTTTGTATTAATTATTCATAAAATTAATTTCATATATACCTAATACAATTTTAATTAATCTCATCATAATCTGTATATGTTGTTACTTTATTAGTTAGATCATTAATTTCTATATATTTCGTTGTTCAATCAATCTTATGCAATAGTAATTTTCACAACTGTATAAATAATTTATAATATGTAAAAAACTTATCATTAAAAAAATTGTTTTACACAATAATTTTTAAATTAAATCATAAATTCTGTATAACATATTTGATTTATATTAAGATTTAGAGTTGTTTCATATTGAAATTTGCAATCATACATTATTTATAGCATACAGTATAATTTAATAATATTTTAAACAAGAAATTTGAATTAATTTTATATTTGTATATTAATTAGATAAAAATAACAAATTTTTGTTCAATTTTCTCATACTTTTTCAATTATAGTAATAAATAAAATTACAAGTGGAAATTGTTCATACGGTATTTTATGTTATTTAGCAGAAAAAAATTATATGATCATAATTTAAAATATTTTAAATAATATTTTATGTAAAATGTTACAATGTCCCATATTTATTATAAAATCTTAACTAATAAATTTTAATATTAGTTTCGAAATATTTTAAGCTTTATTTTTGTTTTCTGAACTTGCAAAATCTACTGTACGTTATGGCTGTTACAATTTTTAAGTGAAACAAAAAATACGAAAAAAATCCGACGAGGATGGGATTCGAACCCACGCGTGCAGAGCACATTGGATTAGCAGTCCAACGCCTTAACCACTCGGCCACCTCGTCAACCTAATACTTGAAGTTGTTAATTCAAGTTTTGGATGTATAAATATGAACTATATAGTTAATAAAATTAATTTTCTAATATAATACATCAAAATTCGTTATGTCACTGTAAACAAATTATAAAAAGACTAATAGTTCAAATGAATATACATCAATACTTTTCAGTATCATATATAACACTAATTGTAACTAACATATTTTATAAAAAAATTTCTAGAAACTATTCTTAAATTTAAACAATTAAAAACAGATTTATAAATGTATTTTTTAAAAATAATAATTTCAAAATTATTTAAGAAATCTATTATTATTTAATTGTAAAGGATATTTTATTAAAATTATATTTTATATGTTATATTTATTATATGTGTAGTGATATAAAACAATTTTTATGAAAAAATAATTGAATTTACTATGGATTTCTTCTAATTATTAATAGCAATAATTGAATTAAATAATCTTACATAAATAAAAGAAAATTGCAATAAAATTGTAAATTGTTCAAAACAAGATTATTTGATATGCTACTTTATAAATACTTTTTTGTACTGAAAATACATTTATTTATAAATTATAAATTTATTTAATAAGCTATTTAAATTATAAGTGCCATTTAGAATTTAACATAAATCGTTATCACTTGCATAATTTATTAATAACTTTAATAGTAGTATATCTTACTATATTTTTGTATAATGGCATATAATATTGTTTTTTATCGTAAGTTCAAATTATTATCAATATTATCATTAAAACAAGCGTCCTTTTCAATTGATTAGAGATATATTATATAAATATAGTAATTACTTCTTATACTTAGGTATTATGTTAATTAGGATAAATGAAAAAAGCTTGCATGTTTAGATTAATTGATATAAGTTATGTACTTGCAATGACGTACTTTTATTTTTATATATAGTTGCTGTCTATGGATTTTGCATGTTTTTCTTTAAATATTATTAGCTGTTGCATATTATAATAGAAGTATTGTATTTTTATAAAATTTGATATCATTATTGAGATAACATATTATACGATTGCTAATTTAATTACAATTATGAATATTATTAATAAGTTAACTATTAGTAGTATTATAAATAGTAATATAATAAATATTTAGTAATATAATTAATTTAAATTAGTAATATAATAAATAATTAGTAATATAATAAATACTGTAAAGGAAGTTTTTATAATCTGCTTTAATATCTCTAGTATTTAAATGTATTATTTACATATGAAGCAATGATCTATATTCTATAATATTTAGGATAAATAGTAGTGCACATCATTTACGGCTACATTTAAATTTCACAATAGTAAAATTAAATATTGTTTAAATAAATTCATATTTGAATCTTATCGCTGTCATTAATTGCTATTCTTTCTTTATTCAAAAAATAAGATTGCAATAGTAAACTCCTCGAAAGCAATTGTAACAAAAGTAAAATTTGATATCACTTAATCACTCGAAGACATTGTTTCACCAAAATAAACAAAGGGTGTATTTAAAGCCAAATATTTGTGAACATCAATAAATATTTTATATTTTCTAAAATCCTTATTTAAACTTTTACAGTTAATTAAGTTCCTAATTATTCAACGAAACAGAAATTTTTAAATTGGAACTCAAATATATTCTTTTCAAAGATCTTAATATGCAAACAGTGAATTAAATTCTATTATAGTACAATTAAAGATTCGTATGAAATAGGTAAATCATACCTTTTCAATTTATTTTGATAGTAAAAGGACTTTTAATAAGTAAATATTAAATATAAGTAATACACGTAAAACAGAATTTTTAATTTAATATTTGCAGTAAATTGAAGGTCACATAATTTAATTATTTTTAATCATTTTGTTTGAAATAGTAGGACTATGGAAAACCCAAGTCGTTTCGAAATTATGAAAAAGAAGTCATAAAGATATAAGGAAAACCCACATCGTTTGATATCTGGAAAAAGGGTATCACAGGCAATCATTGCAAATACGGCATACAACGTATACGCTGTCAAATCTAACTACAATGTAGCTCGGATAGTGAAGCAAGAACGCGTCAACAAGTCCCCCCCCCCCTGGTGGGGATGCAAGTAAGATCGTTTCTGCTTACAAAGAACGACAAATATCAAGGATGAAAACATAAATAGTAAAGACCAAGAATTAAGAGGC